TTTTCATCTTGTGTCAACTTACCTTGACCATAAGCTGTGAGGCAAATCCTCCTTGATAGTTGTTGCTAGAAGGGATCCCTTCAATGATCCCAGGACAGGGATTGTAGGTGTCGCTGGACCAGCAACGACCGCTGCTTGTGTTAATAACCTTGGCGATCATTTCTGGTTCCAGACCCAGCCGGATTCCAAGATTTGTGGCCTCTGAGACCCCTATCATGCTCACAGCTAGTAACAAATTGTTGCAAATCTTGGCTGCCTGTAAAAAGAAGGTTATGCCCAAAGGAGTTGGAATTGTAATTGTATCTGCTCCCACTTCTTGCTACTGTAGAGGGCATGTTTGCAAAGACCAATTTTATTTCTGAATTACTGGTCAGGAACATTTTCTTTCTTGCTGTGTGAGCTTAGAGATCTTGGCAATTTTTTGTTTCAGTATTTGAGAAAGCCCTAAACACCTGTTGATTCACAAGAGGATGTTCTTACTCTTCATTTCCATAGTAAATTAATCTAACTGTTATGTACTCCATTTCATTTAACATGCTGATGAACTTCTTGGAACTAGCAAATAACGTATAAATGTCGAGTGTCAATTTTAACTGTCACAGCTTTAATTATAATTATAGCTTTAATTAAAATTATTATTTTATTGTCATTATTATTATTATTACGATTCACCCTTTTATGCTTAAGAGGTACAAGAAAGAAGAGAAGAACATTTGAGAAATTCGATACAGATTTTTTAATTGACAATGCTATGGCAAATATAGGATAGACATTTTTAAAATTTGTTTTTACAGTTTTTTAGAGTAAGAGTGTTATTTCCCTTCTCAAATATTTTTTTAATGTAATTTACTTTTGTAAGGATAATTTCGATGCACGTATTCTGAAATTCTTTCAATACGAACTAGTAGTTCCTTTCTCGATTTTTATATTTAGGTCGTTTTTGTTATCAAAGTTAGTTTGGGTCTGATACGAGTCTCATCCTAGAGAACCGAATTATTGATTATTATTGTTGTTGTCATCATCGTTACTAACCAAAGCGTGTATCCAATAGCTTTTCTTAGATTTTTATCAGACATTTTAAGCCTTTTAACATGATTTTTGTAAATTTTTAGTGATTATGGTAAATTCAATTATCATGATTATTATTATTATCATCGCAGAGAAATCAACTGAATGCTACATTCTAATCAGGCAGCAAAGGGCAAAAACCGTAACCTGTGAGTCATGGAGTAAAAAATAAATGTACATTAACTAATCATAAAAAGCTTTTCCATTGTGTCTACGGTCCTCCTTCTAACAGGAACTCAAACTGCCACCTTGAAAGTCCGGGCAATATTCAGCATGCGCGAGAGCACTGCCCTGTGCATCTTTTGCAGTACGTCTGTGCTTCTGTCTCCCACCAGCTCGCGCATCATGACATCCAGCTCCCATGACCACCCCCCAAGGGCATCCATTATGATGTTATATTTCTTCACCTCGTAGCCTGGGAACTGCTGCCTTAGTTCCCAGCAAAGGGGTCCGTACTTCAGTATCTTCTCTTCATCCTTTCTTGTCCGATTGTTAACCCACGGGCAGCTCATTTCCAGCATCACAACTCTCTTGCACATATGATTTACAATGCGTGCATCCACCCTATTGCATCTGACCTCTTGTTGATCAGCATATATAGGGACATCCCAATAAGCTTTAACATTCTCTGACTCATACACGGGCTTCGGCTTGTCGGGTGAGTACCAGGGTGGTATCTCGTCTATAAATCCCTCATCATACAACAGTT